AATATTTATCGTCCATATATTATTTGTAATGCAACAATTCTCGGTGCCACGGTGCACTCGAATACGTTGGAAATAAAATTATCACAAATACCGAACGCAAATTGTATGCTAATGTAATGCTTAAGTTCTTTTGCTTTTATAGTCAATATACATGCAATGAACAAGTATTATAAATTTTTATTTGGCTACATCGAACGACCACGATCGAACAAAAAACGATGTATAATAAAAGTATAATATTTTCAACCCTTTGCAATAGATTTATAATATTAATTTCTTTATAAATAAACCTCGAAGCAGGTCCAAGGCTTCAAAAAAGACGTATCTCAAAGAATAAATGAAGTTTGCAAGAAAAATTAAATTGACCCTCGAAACATGTTCGGGGAAGTAAATCTCCTTAAAATGCGAAGCTTACGAGATTCTCAAATTACGATTCTCAAATTTTACCGTGACACATCGAAACCACAGAATCGCTGAGCCCCCGGAAGCAAACCTCGAAACATGTTCAAGTCGTCGAAGAAGTATAGAAACCTAAGAATCGTCCAAGAAGTCGTGTAATTCCACGGTGAAGCAGGACCGTGTCCCAAAATGACGATCCGTGTGAGAAAAGGGTTGAATTTCCGAAGGAAAATTGAATTTCTCGAAGGATGTGTTGGGATCCGCGCAGTCAAAGCAAGGCTTCTCTGGGTTCGAAGGGGAAGAAGTTGCAAGGCGTATCGTAAAAGATGGGTAAGCACCGACCGGAACATTCATGCTCTAGTGAAATTAAATACTAGCGCGGCGAGAGTGCGTATACAGAGCCGCCTCGAAGCCATTTAAACCGGCCGGAGGCGAGGATATTCGCCTGGCTTTCTAGCAGCATAAATCTTCGAAGACATGGCGACCACGTGGTGCAACCGGTACGTTGGCCACTTTGTCGCGGCCCCGTCGAGTGGACTCACTTGGAAGACGCGCGTGAAACATTCGTAGAGCTTCGTTTATTGTTACAGTTAATTATCTTATCTTCGTATCGTTGCAGTTAATTATTCCACGTTTCAATACGATTAAATAACTTATCGTGTTCGTCAAATCACGGAATCAAACAGTTTTTATCAAGAAAGTATCAACCCCAGCGCATTAGTCACTATAGTTTCTCTTAAATATAGACTACTATAGTCTCCAAGTAAAATTTCAAGATAGAATTTCGTAGAAGTCGCATTTGGCATAAATTACAATTAAAAAAGCGACATTGAATGTCCAATTGAATTTATAGGTTAATAGAATGTTTCAGCAGTGGTCTATTAGGGTAATGGAAATTATACATGCTCGATTTCACCATTTTTACTCCAAGCCTTACGTAACAGCACAACTTTACGAATTTTTTGCGTAATATAGTACAGTTGTTTGGAGAAAAATTGACCAAATTTCGAATTACATTTCTCACTGCTGGATTTTGGAATAAAAATTAAAAAAATTTTTCTTTTACTATAAAAACACCAACAACGTTGCGTTCGCTGTTAAAAATTTGCTCTTTAAATAGCTGGTCGTTCCTCGAGCCGAACGCGAAATTACTATACGTGCACGCTTAAAATAACACTAAAGCCTAATTAATGTGAACTAATAACGAGCAAAGCTGTGAAAAGATAATTAATGCAACCGCGGATACGTTTTGACTTTCAAATTTCATTGATACGATCGGCATTGAAAGTGAAGAAAGAATTGTTAATGCTTTTAGTGGTGTTTGATATAATTGCACGCCACGAAATTACGAGTACCGTCAATTAATCGAGCCACTTTATGCGAAATAAATTATAAAAAATTGTAACTATTTTTTTTATTGGCTTTTAACCGGTTTTACTGTTATTATCATAATACTCCTGCTACTAGTGCTACTAATTAACGTTACTATCGCTAACGTTACGAGTAAAATAATAATAGCTTTTTTAACGCAGGAAACAACTATAATATTCCTGAAATTACGAGCTCAGATTTAAAAACACTTTGGTTTTCCTCTACACATTTTATTTTATTTCACTAATGATAGCCATAATAACTTTATACGTACAATGCCATTTGTCTCTCTAATGGAGACGATATTATCATTATTATTATTGTTCACATGTATAGGGATAGACATGTTAATATTAAAAAGAATAATGAAACAGGAAGTGAATATGTACATGTAGAAATGACGAGGTGTAACTAGAAACGATGTTTCAACCTAACCTCAATATCGATCGCTAACGTTGTTATTCAGGTGGCAGGATCAATAGTAAATCAAGACCACTTGGCAGTTCGTGACTTCGTGTTTGCTCAAGTCGTGAAATGATCGTATTGCAATCAAGTCTTCATCGTAGTAACTACTACTTGTCACTGTCACTGTACAATGGTACATTGACTACGCCTATTATTATTGCTTTTAATACCGCCACTGCTACTTCTGTCGCTATTATCGTCGCCGTACTGATCATTTCAATTCCCATTACTACTTATGGTAATTAGACTCTTACATCACGCGCTATCCATTTATTACTTATTCAGTTACTGTACCGTTATATTGTATAATATTCTACCGTCGAAGATTATCTCTACAACTCATCGATTCCGAATCGTCAAGTGCATAATTTCTTTTCCCGTTACTCGTTCCTTAAATGTTCGATATAACCGACACGGTCACATCGACGATCTATCGAAATACAAAATTACGAATTCTTTTTGCAAATTATCATTTCGTTACAGCGTGCAATTTAATTCTCAGCCGTTTCGTTGACTAAATTTGTCGTTCGTCGTTAACATTCATGAGAATCGAATACGCCTTGGCTGTAATCGAAATACATGGATCCATTTTAAAAAAGTTGAAGATGACATTGACAGTTTTTCAAGTGAAGTAAAATTCAGGTATATATTTTATTGTTTATTTATTAGGCAACATAAACAGCGTGCGTACACATTTATCTTTCAAATGTAAAACATAATATTAGTAGTCGTGCATCCTGATGTGTCAGCATAGAGAACAGTTTCCTCCGTTACCAGACAGTACTCGCACAGTCTGTCAAGTTCAGTACTAATTAGGGGAACGTACATCACGATCTAAATACTAATTATACTATGTTGTTATTTCCTGCTAGCAATCGTCCAATCTATTATTCCACGAATGGATGAATATCCGGTTATCCGGTTTTCGTAGAAGACCATTCGTCTGTACGGCTCCGAGATCGTTCCGACCCGCTCGTAGTACTCCAGCGTAACACTTATTGTTCAGTAGTTACGACGTCGTCTGGTACGCGCGGCAACATCCGGTCGCGTAAGTTGGACGCGCGTACGACGCCGTAGTAAACGCGTAGCAATCGCAAACGAACCGAGAGCCCGCGAGTTTCGTGCACGAAGGACATTCCCACTCCTACACGGGCCGTTTCTTTCTCCCTCTCGGTTGAAATTATCCAGCGGAAGTGGCCCTTACTTTCCCTGTACACGCTTCAAGAATTTCTCAACCGAACGGACGAAGGAGCCCCCATTCGATCTCGACAGCAAACTCCTTATCTAGATATTATTATTATTTTATATCATTACTATCCCCTGTTAGTCGCGTACGACGAGTATACTCGTCCAAGACATTATATCTGAATTAAAATTTTATCAATTTTAGTTGAACAACTTTTGTCCAAGTAAGTTTGTACAAGTAAATAAATTTGATTGTTTAAGCTGTTAAATAACTATAACTAAAAATGTGGTTGTACACGTTTCGCCCCCCTCCAAGCGAAACTTCTGGTTCCGCCTCCGGCACTTCCTTTAAAATTCATAAAAGAACTGAATGAAAGAAGAATCCCAAATTCAACTTCTTGGCCAAGAAAGTATATCTCGACCCCGGTATCACCCTAAAATTTACATATTTACAGAGAAAAAGATGTAGCGATTACGCTACTTCGGAGAACCTAACCCCCGTTCGATCTCCATGGGAGAAACGCGTTCTTGGATCATAGATGGCAGTAGACTTTATATTCCGGAAACAGTCGAAATTGTATATATTAGAATGTCTTAAACAATTTAGAAAATTCGGAAAAAGAGACTCTTAATAAGGAACGAATCTCAGATTCAAATATTTTGCCAAAAAAGTATAGCTCGTCCTTAACATTTACATATTTACACATATTCCGTAACAATAACACAACGGTAAACAAGTGGTATCCCTGTACGCCATGAAATCGATGTTTATCGATATTCAAAAGGTTCGATTCGATATCGACTCTTCGATATGTAGTTTGATGTTGCGATTAAGGTGTCGAGTTTTGAGGTTATGCTGTGTACACTGAACCTTGCATTAACCTCAAAATCTATTATTCTAACAGAACGGAAATCCAGGTATTTAAAAAATTAGTTCCTACATTACTTTGATTATAAAGAATTGTAAACTACATAATCGAAAATTTCTCCTAGTACTTATTTTTCTAACCTCACAAAAATTCATGCATTCTATCGAGATGTATTAGACCTTTTAGTTTCATAATGAAAAGTCCTGTCACTCGTATACATATGAGCTGACGTGGCAGTCAAAGTTTGATAGAACTGGATCCAATGGAAAACTATGAATTCGAACACGCTCATCGAGTCGGTTGCGTTAAGAAATCTGGCTAGGTCATCGGGTAGTCCGACGGCAGGTTAAACACCACCAGGTTGGGTCCGTCGTTCTACGTATCGTCTCAGAAACAGCACGAGAACGCTGAAGGTGACGACCCCTGCAGTCGGTAGACGTGCAGGGTTCTTGTTACACGATGCGAATCCTGCACTGGCGCCCCAGTCATGACAGCCAGTGGTGGGGGATCGGTTACGATTCACGTGACACTGGCGCCCCGGTGGTAGGGATCGATGCGTGGTCATGTGACCAGTTGGCGCCGAATGGTGGGGACGCACCTACCACCCCTTCGGGAGGAGCGAACCGGCGAAGCAGGAGGACCGGCAGCATTCTGACCTGGTAAGTCGCCAGTGTCGGGTCGTGAGAAAGTGAGTAAGGGTAGGCTTGCATCGCTGGACATTTAAATCGACTGTAAGCAGACTTGTTCGAAAAGGAAACGGTTTCCTTGCGTATCGGGAACCTACCGCAACACCGTACACCCACTCGCAATCACTTCACGCACAATTCTAATCGGCTTAGACGAGAGCGACCGGAGGGCCGAATTACGCTTATTTATTGAAATCTTACGCAGAATCCCTTCGAACGATCATTCTTATTTATTCGCTAGTGTTTAGTCGAGGCACGTCCGTTTCTTCGATCGAGAGAGGCAGCTTCGACCGAAGGATACCGAGAAAGAAAAAAACAAAACGGAAGAAAACAAAACAAAAAAACAATCTAATCGGGCAACTACGTCGGGGCGTACGACCCACGAGAGACGAAGGGAAGTGTGTTTGTTGTGCATAAAGGAAAGTAGAACACCGTACACGTCTATTCTCAATTTCTTTTTTTTTCTTTTTTGTTCTCGCTCGTGTTGTATATTTGTTTTGCGCGTAGACGGCCTCTAGGTGAGTGTTAATCGAAGTCATTGCCCGAAACCAAGGTCCTGTACGTGTACGTGTACACGCATACGACACGTCCACGTGTGCACGGGTTATATTATTTTGTGAAGTGTTGAGTGTCCCCGGGAATCGTCTTCCCGTGCGAATATTGTGTGAACTCTTCTGCCGTATCTTTGCGATCGATTCGTGCATGCTCTGTCTGGCCGCGGCGGCGAAAAACGGTTTGGCAACGTGGCACGTGAATAAAGTGAACCGCGACGACGGCGACGACGAAGACGACGACGACGACGACGGCGACAGCGGCGAGAGGAGACGGGAAAAAACAAAGGAAAGACGGCCGAACCGACAGCGTCGTCGTGCTTCTTGGCACAACGCGGAATCTTCGATCGCGAGTCGCCAGAGAGAGGCTGGCAGCCGCCTGCGTGATCCGAGAGGTTAGAAACGCCACGGGAACATGGATCTGCTTTGCTGCGAGACCACGGAAACGGAATGCAGAGCCTACGCTGATCCAGCTCTCCTCGGCGACGACCGTGTGCTGCAGAATTTGCTGAAAACCGAGGAAAGATACGCACCGAGCAGTTCTTACTTCGAGTGCGTGCAGAGGGACATCTCGCCGCTCATGCGCAAGATCGTCGCGGAGTGGATGTTGGAGGTGAGCAACCGTTTCCGGTCCACGTGTCGCCCTTGAATTTATCAAAATTTCGCGATTTCCCGACCGTTGTTCGATCCGCGACATCGTCGAAACAATTCTTTGTATTATTCCCGATACGAAATCCAGAGGAGTCTTGCCAGATAGTATTTAAATATTGCATCTTGCGATCAGCTGTTTCGAAGGAACCGTTGCAGTGAAATCGACGATTCTTTGATCTGCGTGTGTATAAATCGGTAGTGGGCAGAACATAACCTAAGCAATAGTTAACAATGTCAAATGCTATTGTAATCGTTAGAAGCTGTTAGAGATTTGTTTTTGCAATTTAACTAATCAAGTGGAATTCATACATTTTGTAAAAGTGTCAAGAATATGTGAACGATTAATTGTCAGGAATAACCAATGATTGCAAAATGTAATTTATTACGCCCAAATCTGATAAAAACAGTTGTACGTAAGCATACGCAAACACAGCAGTTCGTTCGAGATGATTTATAATCAACGTAAACGCATGAGTTCTTTATTGAAACACAAATATTTTACAATATTCAAGGAACATCTAGATACTTAATAAATAGAATAATTCGACGAGTCTCTAGTCTCGGTAATACTCGATACTAAAGTCCCTCTACTCGTTAATGTTTACTCATACTCGAAGTACAATTTTATCGTTGTTTTCGTTCTTTTCAATAGCCGGATAAACACACGGTCGGATCGTTGGGGTTACGTAATCGTACACAACGAATCCCCGCGATGCTTAACACCTACGCGCAATTATTTGCATCGGGAATGGAAGACAGTACGCATTTTTCGACTGTAACAGCCGTTTTCAATGTCTGCGTTCGTCCATTGTCCGATGAAAACCCGTCTCAGGGTGAAGGCTCGATTTGCGTTGGCAAGTGTCACAATAGGTTATATATATACATTTTTCTATCGCCCACGTTATTTGCAGGCCCCCTGACAGCACGTACAATCGAAGTTTTTCTCTGTCAGCCATGGTGGTCACCGGTGACCGATGCTTTTAACTCGAAACGTTTCTCGAAAATACTTGCGAGTACGCAACGAACCCTGATGTGAAATTTAGAATAACTTCGTTGTCGTTGGAAATGTTGTAAAATGCATGATTTTAGTAAATTCGAGAATATTTCTGTACGTAGAAAATTAACGTGGTGGCCAACGTGATAGAGGTCGCGGTGACGCGTAGTTTCGTTCGTCGAATCTTTCAGCGGCCACCATTACCGAAACTCGAACGTCGATTTCGAACAGGTTCGAGCGAATTCGATTTTTCGGTTAGGCGGCGGTTGAAAGTCGCTCAACGGCCGCGGATGAACGTTTAGATTATTTTTAGCCGTGGGGCGTGAGAGACGGTGACGTCGAAGACGCGTCTGGGGTCCCTTTAAAATTTAAAAAACACGCTCAATGCGTAGGTGCGCGTTTAGGTGGCCGAACGGCGTATAAAGACCAGGATAATAATGCTTCTTGAAACAAAACTAATCGTAGACTAGCAGAAAAATTAACAAACACGATCGAACGTGACGAGTACATTTTTATAAATTTAGTATTCTTAGAATTAACTTTATTTGAATGTTTTAATTTACTTCCACTTGTTCAGGTAATATTATCTAAATGTGCAAATGATATAGATTGTGATAATTTCTATAATACAATTACATCTAGTTACAGTATATAAACTTTATCCAATTTTTCAATTGCAACTGTCAAAAAGATAAAAATAAGAATCGATATAAACTTATCGCGAAAATCGGCAAACAAAATAAATTGCCTACTCATAATATGTAGGTCACAACCGACACGTGGATTTTTAATTTCGTGCAATCGTCGAACAGCATGATTGATCAAATACAGTAAACGCTGATTCGATTTTAATGAAGATATTAATTAACTCTGTTGTGTGTTCGTTACGTTCTTAATACTTGGCGATAAGGAAATAATAAAAGCTTTGGTGTATTCGGTAACAAAATAATAATGATACAAAAAATTTATAATTTTGATTTTTAAAATACAATTTAAAATTTGAAACGATGAAATGCTTTTGACGACGATGGTGTGTGTTATTTTGTTATCGAATGCTATATTTTTTTCTCGAATATAAAATGATAAAATTAAATGTAATTTGCTATGATTTTTTTACGTTTACAACTAGTTTTATTCCAAGAATCGCTCTGTGCCGATAATTATGTTCGGCACCGTAGTTTCGTCGTCATTAACGAGGCGAATCGTGTCAGCACGATAAGTCACGGGTTACGTCACCGTGCTTTGCCAAATGCGACTCGATAAGGCCGCTGGCATTCATAATTAACATTTAATGCTCCCAGCGAATTCGAATCACCTTTCTTTTAAGATCAAATTTCATTGTTTCGCGTGTATATGACGATTTCGTTACCGATAAATTGAAAAATTAATTTTAATCAAATCGTCATTAAAAAACGATCGAGAAATCAGAACAATAACAATGAAACAATTTTTATCTTAATGTGTGTCATTTTTGTTTTATATTTAATTAAAAAGGAAACACGTGTAATTGCATATACGATCGAGAAATCACAACAGTAACATTGAAACAATTTTTATCTTAATGTGTGTCATTTTTGTTTTATATTTAATTAAAAATGAAACACGTGTAATTGCATATACGATCGAGAAATCAGAACAATTTTATCTTAATGTGTGTCATTTTTTTTTGTATTTAATCGGAAATGAAACACGTGTAATTGCATATACGAGCGAGAAATCAGAATAATTTTGTCTCAAGGTGGGAGTCATTTTTAATTTTTTTATATTTAATTTAGAATATTGTTCTTTGGTTTGAAATTATCCGACTATCCCCGCTTCTTCAGTTCTCTAACGCCCTTTAAATTCTTGTCGATGGTCGCTTCGCGCCAAACTCCTTGGTCGACCGTGGTAATGAATTCCCCGCTTTCGGATCGAATTGCACGATTCCACCGTTCGTTTTTCCTTTCAACGTGACTCTGGGCCGCTGACAATGTAGTCTGTCCAGGCGGGAAGAATGTTTAAATGCCTGCTATCCGAGCGTGCCACGATAGAAATATGCGTGTTTCGCGCGCGACAATCTTCCTCTTTTTTTTTCCTCTTTCTTTCTTTCTCGCTCGTGGCTAACGCTTGTAACGGTAATTCTTTGTTTTTCCTACCGTCCTGGCAACCAGTGGCGCATTATGCTATGCGCAAAAAACCAGGGGTTGAAAGAGCCATGGATCATTTCCAATAGATCTCTTCTGATTAAAATTCTCGTATCATACAGTCACGATCAAAATCAGTACACCAGGTATTAAAAGGTTCAGAGATTATGCAGAAGAAATAATATGATGGATAGTTTTAACAGAAAGTAAAATTGTAGATGAATATTAATATGAAAATAAAAGTGTATAAAATATACAAATATATATATTTTGAATGTATCTGGATTTATTATCTAGTAGTATACAATTTCGTGTTAACTGTTGGCATCAAGTAAGCAATATTTGAAATGGTAATGCAATTAGAAATGAAAAGTTTAATGTGCCATAAATTCCTTGTTATTGATTGGGATGTGCATTATAATTTGAGCCATGATTCCATGATTAATGTCTGGCGTTCAGGTTCGTGGCCGTAATTTGTAATTGTCAATTACAAGAGGAATGTAGTCTGATTTTATTTTATGTTCGGTATCAGCGTGAAATTAAAATTCTTTGGGATCTGTTTGGTCACTTTTGATGCACTTGGGTTTTGTCGTGGACATTTTTACGTGGCCAAATTAAATTTTTACTGTTTGGTAATGAATATTAATTAAGCAATTTTATAATTAAAACGACGTTTTCGTGATTCCGATTTCACTGATCGATCCGTCGAGAGCTAAGAATCCTCGCGCTTTCTAATGATGTAATTCACGTCAAATTAGAAATCGTTGCTTAAAATCATCGCATTCCAACAGCAATTAACCCTCGGATGTTACATTTCGTCATAACACCGAAGCGTAAAGTTCAGGTTGCATTTTATAAACGCTAGTGGGAAGTAAACGTGTACCTAACCTAGAAAAATGGTTCTTGATTTGTATGCAATATTAAACTGCTTAAAAAACGAACAAATTTTTATTTTGTAGAACTCAATTATTTAGAAAACTTATACTTCAAAGTATCAGACAAAGTTGCACTTCGCAGGAGAAAGTAACCGACTTTATAAAAATTAATACACTGTACGGGGAATATCCAATATACCAAACAGAATATCGAAATTCCGAGGTTTTATAGTAAATAGTTATTTTTTAGAAATTCTAATGTTTCTTTAAATATTATATATTATTAATAGATATAAATATAAAGTGTATTCGTTTGTAACGCGGTTCCACGATTTCGATGGAGGCCAATAATTAAATCCGTGTTCGTCGGTTACCTAAAGTTCAGAGGATTAAACGTCGCCTCGAGTTCCTGGAGAACGGCCATCTTTGCCGGTCAGATTCTCGCGATTAGAGGTTCAAGGCCCGATATATTCGACTGTCGATTGATTTTTTGCGCGATTAATTGCAACGACCGGGAGGTTTGTAAAGTCGACCTTGAAGCATGCGACTACGTCGAGAACGTGACCGGACTGGGATCGTGTATACACGTCGTGTCGAAGTCCATTGCTTTGAATTCTTCGGCATTAGAGCCACTGGCGGCGATTCGCTCGCCTCGAGTCGACCAACTCATCCTAGAATTCGTTCTCTAGCGTGTTTTCTACCAGTAAAACACCAACGTTGCCTCGTTTTCAAAGAAAAAACAAAAATGGCACAAATGGCACTCGTGATTCCTAGCGTTGCGTCCATAATATTTCGAGACGACAGAATTCTATTTCAACATACCATCTCGTCAGAGCATTCTAAATATATTTATTTTTTAAACATTATTTTATGGGGTAAAAGCAGATTCTGGTAAATGGCTAAAATGGTACCCTAGAAATTCGAATAAAAAGCAAAAATGGCACAAATGGCACTCGTGATTCCTAGCGTTGCGTCCATAATATCTCGAGACGACAGAATTCTATTTCAACATACCATCTCGTCAGAGCATTCTAAATATATTTATTTTTTAAACATTATTTTATGGGGTAAAAGCAGCCTCTAGTAAATGACTAAAATGGTACCCTAGAAATTCGAATGAAAAGCAAAAATGGCACAAATGGCACTCGTAATTCCTAGCGTTGCGTTATTAATATTTCGAGATACCACCTCGTCAGACCATTCTAAATATATTTATTGGAAGATAATTATTTTTTAAAGATTATTTTACGGGGTAAAAGCAGATTCTGGTAAATGGCTAAAATGGTACCCTGTTTGTATCCTTGCGTCTCTCTATTTGGAAGCAGATAATGTTTTTATCGAAGATAAAACTTGGAATAAGTGTTGTGGGGACTATTATTAGCTGACCCCCGTGCGCCAAACACACCGTGGGCTTGTTTCCTTTCTTTTCTTCGGTCGGAATCGGGCGTGTAGAAGGACGGATTAAAGTTTATCGACGCAGATAACAATGTGGAAGCCGCTATCTGGCCCTCCACGACCCGCACGAATGTTTGAGGATCGGCGAATAGTTGTTAGAGGCTGCTGTCCGAGGTTGATAGAGAAATATAGCGTGTCCCCGAGGCTTTTGCGTCGGTATCAATAACTTCTGTTCTACGATAGATAAAAATAATCTATACTATGAATTACACGGGATAATTTACGGCGTTATCGACCTGGGTTAGGGTGATTTCTTGTCCAAGGGTGAATCTTTAAAGCCGTAGAATAGATTCTTTGTTATGGCAGAATTTGTTCCGAAAAATTCTGAACCTACTTTCTTCGCAATAACTTGAATTTAAATTTAAATTTATTATCATTTGCAATTGTAATGCATTTAGCAGTCTCTGTGGAGGTTAGGATTAAAATAACGGGGTTCGCAGCGACTCTGAGGACACATCTGCGTTACACACTGCGCTCTGACTGCAGGAAAACGCCGTCATAAATCGCCACCCTCGAAAAGTGTGGGACGGCTAAGTTCTTAGAAACGACCACCCTGAGCCTTGGAAAACTTCATTGTCCTTGAAGGGAATTCGACAGTTCCATGAAAATTTGCCTGAGGCATGTAAAAGACATGTGGAAACAGTATTTTCAAAACATAACCTTCGAACCCCTACAATTGCACGTTCAAACGATGGTCAAACAGTCTCAATTCTTTCTAGACGTGAAAACAGCCCTTTTCCGTGCTCGTAATTCGCTGGAAGAAGCCAGAAGTTTCTTCTGAAACTCGAAGGTGATCACGCACCCTCGTAACGCGACGTTTAATCGATGATAGGACACGTACAATTATTTCGTGAAGTCGCTGGTACTAATTGGTCGTGGTGTACGCGTCATGAAGCAATTACGAGGGGTGTTGGAAAAGGGTAGAACGTTGGTCACGCTCAATAAGTCCCCCCGTACAACGGCAGTGGCCGATTCGTACGGCTGCACCTACCGGTTGAAAACAACCGGTGGGATTTCTGTGAACCCACCGTGGAATATTTCGGGTCAACCCCTGCGTTCCGGAAATTGGGGTGTCTCTCGTACCCTTTCCGAGCGTTTCGACCGTGTGTTTAACGTTGGGGGGCCCTCACGTTTAGATGTCTCGATAAATATTGTTCTTGTTACGTTCAAGATTATTGGAAATTAATTAACCCACCGTAGCCTGGTACATACTTGGAACTTGCTAATGGAGAACGGAGAAGTGTTTCGTTTAGGGGATGGAGGGTTTGAAAATCTTCGATTTCTGCTGAGATTGTGTCATTTTAAAGCAAATGTACTCCAAATTTTAGTTTGTTTCAAATACGACTATTTATTAATATTGAACACTATTTTTGTGTTTTTTTCACCCTTTGGATATTGATCATGGTTATATATTGTCTTCGTAACTCAATTTTCAGAGGACGTATATATACGTCTTTTGCAAATGACTGCCTTTAGAGGCCATATCTGAGGGTTAATTTGTTTCAAAAAAATACAATAAATAAAGAAAATTAGTTATCAAAGTAGAGCTGGAATTGGTATTTTGCATATAATCGCGTCTCGAGTACCCAAAGCGAAATCATAATCGTCTAGACGAGAGTCCCTTTCGACCCCTCGGACTGGAATTTCGTTCCACGTCGAGAACTCGTTATGCTCTTCCTCAGCATCGACTGTATCGATTGTATCTGCTCCTCGAGAACGCTTTGGAAACAAAAACCGAGGTCCCCGACCTGTGCCCCAGGGTGATCGATTAGACAAAGCCACGATGGTAAGTTACGGAGGAAGGAAATCCGGTCCGACGTACCCACGCCTATCTCTTCAGGGTTTTACCGGGGCTTTAACACTAATTTGTCATTGACTCTTGTAGCACTGTCCATCGAGTTCTCAGTCGTACCTTGCAAAACACCAAATTTTCCGTATTTGTATATCAGTTTAGCTTTACCATTATTCTCAGCAAAAACCAAAACTGTTCCCATAGGTCAAAATGGACGTAGACAAACGAAAGTGCTCGCTTTATTCCTACAAAGTCTCCTCGAACAACCGCGCGATCGTTAAGCGACTTTAAGCTTCGTGCAAAGGTGTCGTCCACGCGCCTTAATAAATCAGATTCCCTCATTTGCGCGCCGGTGACGCCCAAGAAAATCAACAAAAAGCCCCCCCGAGTTACCTGGCAACATAACTGTATAGCCGCATTCCGATCGACTGGAGCCCCCCAGGTATCCGCCACTTTCCTAATTCAGGAGCCTCGTAGAAAGATCCCCCCGAATCGCGTTCACCCTTGGAAGGCTCGAGACGCGTAGGTACCGCAAAGGGACGCGTTGAAAGCAACCCCTTGATCATCCTTTGTTCCAACCACTACGACAGACCCGACAAAGAACAAGGACGACGTTTCTAATCTCGTTCTCGATGATCCGTGGCAGGTATGCGAGGAGCAGAAGTGCCAGGACGAGGTCTTTCCCCTCTCGATGAACTACGTCGACAGGTTCCTCTCGATCTGCCCGATCAGGAAGTCGCAGCTGCAGCTGCTAGGAACCGCCTGCCTGCTTCTCGCCTCGAAACTGCGAGAACCGTCGCCGCTCACCGCCGAGGTGCTCGTTTTCTACACGGACAACTCCATCACACTGGATGACTTATGGGTAAGTGCTCGGTCATCTCGTTTTGCTCCTCTCTATCTGCATATTTCCGAACGGAGAACGATTAATCGGCCCCACCGATACCGACTTTTCTGCACTCGACGCTGGGACTAGTCGGACATGGGGGAAGTTATGGTCCACGGTCCATTGGAATCGATTGTTTCTATCTTAGGGACCACTGTTGCTTTAATCGCCTCTGTATCAAATTTCTCGAATTTTATACATTTTAAAATATAGTTGGTGCCCTGAAAAAGATCACTAGCAAGTCGAGAGGAGTCTGTCAGTTAATGGTGAACATTTTAGCGCGAGCATCGATGCTTTTATGGTTTTTTTTTCAAGGGCAATGCAGTGACTATGTTTTACAATAGAAACGAGTCTAAAAGTAATTCTTTTAAGGCCCAAGAAAGGGAGCTTGATAGTCGGTTATAAATACTTGAGCAGTGTGTCGGGTGAGGTCTTTTTGTTATTGGCGATAAGGGGAAAGAGAAAAATCCTGTTAGTAAACACTATCATCTTTCACCGATAAAACACTACGCGCTAATGAAACGCACCTAACTTATCGCTAATTGCACGTCGGTACACGATAAGTCTCGGGGTATACCAGTCGGTATGCCGTGAGTAGGTTTTCGGTGGATAGTGTTGACCGATACCTTCCGATCTTTTCTGTCTGGCGAGGTAGATCGCTGTACGATAAATTAGCCGATAATTAGCGAACTCGACTTTCCGTGTCGGATCCATTCGAAGAAATTAGCCGTAAAAACATCTTATTCCTCGGGAATTTCTGGCCACCATTTTGGTAATCCATTCGTTTTGGAGTAGAACATTTTCTAGACTTCGTTACCTGACACGATTCGTTCCACTTCTTCCATATACAACTTCCTTTTGTGAAAATTTCTCCATCGATATTTATAAAATATATAGAAATGCATTCAAAGTAAGATAACTATGGCTGTTATTATAAAAATATAGTAAATAAAGTAATAGTTTCCATGATTTGAAATGAAAAATTAAACGAACAGGTTACAGAAAAGAACAGAAGAGGAAATGAGACAGACAATGAAATTACAGAAACATTTTTCTGGCCATAAATTCTGTTTTCAGTAAAGAATTTTTTTCTCGAAATTGCGTAGGATTTCGGGGGTATATCTATTGACAAAAAATGATTGTACTTGATTCGTGGAACTAAAAATAATTTTTTTGGAACGATTGGAAATTTTTTAATTTTGTCGAAAAATTTCACATCTACTCGAATTTTTTTCTCGAAACTGGGTAGGATTTCGGGGGTATGTCTAATCACCAAAAATGATTGTACTTGCCCCCTACAACTAAAAACAATTTTTTTAGAAAGATTGGAAATTTCTTAATTTTGTCGAAAAATTTCACACCTACTCGAATTTTTTTCTCGAAAATGATTAGGAATTCGGGGGTATAAGTATTGACCAAAAATGATTGTAATTGACCCATGCAACTAAAAATAATTTTTATGGAACGATTGGAAATTTGTTAGTTTTATCGAAAAATGTCTGCTACCATTTTTATGGGGTTTGTTTTTTCTCTTCGAAAGCCTGAGCCACTGAAAATGGGTCAAACGTAACAGTGGGTCTGTGACGCAGTGGATTTCCTTTTCCCGTTAAAATGTATCGCTGGGGGATATCGATCCTCGTGCCTGTATGCTAAATGGCATGAAACTTTCATAGGAAAAGTTTACGGTACACTTCTTTCGCCATTTGGCGAAACGATCGAAAATAGGGCACGTTATCCGTATCTAAATGCTTCTATTTTTCGGTCCGTTCCTCGGCGTGACCGTTAAATGGCCGTCGACGCTGCCGAATCTCGAACTGGTGATAACCTGTCCCACGAATATCCTTATCGATCGACGGTCTGTCTTTTTTTTTTTTTTAGAGGACGAGAAAGCATTCATGCTTTATTTTACATTCGTAGAATTGGAGGAATACATTGAACATGGGCTACTTTGTTATTTGGTCGAGGCTTTCCAATCTGGTGAACATGCTGTTTTGGTTGCTCAAAAAGAAAGTTTCGTCAGTGATTCTGACTTGTATTGATTATATGATTTTAATAGACGGTCTGGACACGATCTAAACAGGACACAGACTTAAGATATTGCATTAGATAATAGAGTTTAGTGTATCTAATTTGCATTTGGCTCAGAGGTATACCTAACACGTTCTGAGAAGACATCTTATCAGTCAGATTTAATCCACATAGCTAGACCTTATCCAGAGGCATTATAAACCTAACACAACTTTGATTTGAATAAGGTGTATGGTTCTAGTTCACATTTAATTAGTATCCAACACAAACTTGTAACTAATTTTAATATATTTCTGAGGCCTGACGTGTTCCTAGATATAATTGAAGTATAGTTCCAACCCACATCTAATTTGGATTTGACTCACTCATTACTAACATATCCTACATTTCTCAACACAGATTTAATTTACATAGACTATACAGATGAGTCACAAACATAACAATGCTCGATACTAACTTGAGGTATAGTTGTAGTTCACATCTAATTTGGATCTAGACTAGATCTGTACCTAACAAACCTGAGAAGACACTATCTTGCTAAATTATATTTAATTAACAAGACGTTAGTTAGCTCTACTGGGATATAGTTGTAGTTTAATTTAGATAATCTAATTTAAATCTGACGTAGGACTATATCTAATGCAGTCTGTTACATTATCATTTTGTACAGATTTAATCTGTGTCTAATCAAGAGTTGTCAGACCTAACATCTACATAGCTCTGAGTCCTAATTCTAGGTCAGATCTGATTTCTGGACTGACCTAGGTCTGCGTCTAATAAATTTCTGTTACACAGCCAGGAAGATTTAGCTTGTTAAGACAGACCCAGTGTATGTTGAATCAGACTTAATCCAGAGGTGTCAGATCTAACACATAACCAGTTCTAATTGAAATGCGAAGAGTATCATAATTTTGTACAGACTTAATCTACGTCCAATCTAGGTCTTGTCTAGAAATACCTAATTTATTTTTCCAATTTCCAGATCCAATTTGAACTGACCTAGACCTACCTAGATCTACCTCCACTGTACTACATACTTAAGACCTATCACCTTTCTCAGGTATAGTGAATCACCACCTAATCCTATCCCAGATTTACGAGTCCCGAAACCTCGATGAGAAATTCGAGATCATTTGTTCCATAACAAATTGTTTGTACCAGAATCACAATCTTGGAAGAAGTACTGAAAAATTAAGCGTTTCGTAAATCATTAACGAGAAATAGGTTAAAATGTTGCAATTGTCAGAGCTTGTTTACTATCTAATCTAGCCGAATTTATCGTTAATTCATTAAAAATCTAAATGCTAGCTGCTCTTTATCAGATAAAAGTATCACTATCGAGATTTCGGTGTCTTGCTGTTAGGTAACCGAGGTTCCCAAAACTTTCCGAGCAACTCGAGGCATTTAAATCCGCCCGGGTATCTTTTCCAAATCGATCTGAACTTTCTATCTGTTATTCGCGAATAAAATTTGTCCAAATCTTGAATCGGAGGCGTCTACTGTGGTTTTTAAATGCCTCACGAAACCGACAGAGAGTCGAATGGGCAGTGTCACGCAACGAACTCCCTCTTTTCGAGAACACGAAAGCGTAACTGGGCTCCCCGGGCAAACAAGCGATAGCCTAAGCAAGCCTAAATAGATAACAGCTGATACGGGAAACGTTATTTAATTTCCAGCCACTCTTGGCTCGCTCGATTGCGTCCTGAACATTCGGGCGCCTTCCGTCGATCTCTCGAAACTTTCGAGCGATTTTTGCCACCACTGTTTGGTGGCCAATGGAACTTTCTGCGATGAAAAATTGAGAAACGCCTTGGGCCTTGTTTGAGATAAAAATATTGAGAAAAAAAAAACCAGGACAATAACAATGCTATTTTAGGAATCGAAGTTGGAGCGTTCCACTCTGTAAAAAGATTGTTTTTTTATCTTCAAACTCCATAGAAAATTGCGTTCCAGGGTACTTCCCCAAGCCTGAAACAGGAGCATTGAACTATGATTTATTCCCCAAGAATTTATCGCTATCTCGACGATTTTTAACCGCAATAGTGCATTATCTCTCGGGAATGTTTTTAAACTACGGGGAGAATTAACGCCAGCTATGAACATATTTTTTATCGAATCGTTTTATTATAATTGCTCCCAAGGTATGCGATACGTTCGCAGCTTGTCCGGGTTTCTATTAATAGACTAACAAATTAGTTGTTCGTACGAACGATACCAAAACACGTTCAATGTTTATCGTTTGAAAAATGATAATGAGATATATATTCCGGAGTAATGTTTAATCTAGCTGTTACGAGCTTCTAATGGTCCATATCCATTCCTGGACGAGGAATGCGGTTGCTCTGCTTACATTCGTCGTTCAGATAAGCGAAACCGAATGCGCAAATATTTGTTCAAAAATGAATATAACACTCTCAAAGCAGCAATTGCATTGTGCTGGCCAAACTTCTTGAGACTCGATTAATTGCTACGCATCGAAACCGTGTTGTAAACAGGCCTGGACATTATCCAAATAAATTGTTTAAAAGTTAATTGGTTCGAGTAGTCAAATAATCAAATACTCTCTGATTCTATTACGTCAAGAATTCTTATTAATTTCAATTCCAGTTTAAATCATTTGTCTCTAAAGCAGACGGACAATTTATTTAATGTCTTTGTTCGTTGTATACAAGTGAGAAATCTGTCGAAACGAATAAACACGTCGTTATGAGGCGAAAAGTTGGTTGACCAGATAATCGCCGCGCAAACAGTCGAAACGTTGAAAGGGTAATTGCTGTTTTGGGGCCAATTTTGTCGCCCCCGAAGCAATAAACTCGATGCAGGCGGTTGTTGTGCCCCGTGCTCGACGAATCGTGTAACAAAAAAAAAAGAAAGAAAAAAACGAGAACGACCACTGACTAATCATCGGAAAATAAACAGGAAGGTGTTAGCTGAGGGCGTCGATGCACCTG